CTGAGAATTTTATTAGCACCTTCCATTGATGCACCGTTTGATGTTGACCATTTTTTTATTTTATTCTCTTCTGCGTTTGTCTTTTTCTTCTTTCGTTTGGCCATGGATTAATGGGTACCCATTGCGAGGCCGTAATCAATGGATATTTCAGGATTTTTTTTTTTTTTTTTTTTTGTACTAAAGCCACGCAATATTAAAGTAAAAAAGAAAAGAGAGACGCGTGCACACAAATATGCACAGTCTTGCCTTTATAAGTATAGAGCTTTGAAAGCATACGTAAGTATGCCAGAATTGTTTCCTTTCATTAGTCGAAAGAGAGACAAATGAACCTTGTAAAAAAATGTACACATCAGTTTTATGACTGTTTAAGAAGCTACTTGTTTCCTGGAACATTTTTTTTAGATTATCAATTAATCGATTGGAAAATTTACGCGGCTGTAAAAGATGCTTTTTACCGGTAGCTTCTGCACAGCCCTTTTTGACTGGTCTACAATGTCTGCACATTACTTTGGCATACCCAGTATTCCTGTATGAGCCAGCACCGCGCCCATGTCGTAACTTTTTAGCTAAAAATTAAAAGGAGGTTGCGATTGTGGGTGGCCGTAGAATACAAGAAATGTATCGTAGTGCGAGAGAGTGGAGCGAAAGCTTGCAGTAAAGCATCGAAGGGTATAAGTTATGGATATAAGTAAAAGGGGGGAAGAGTGATGGTTCGCACGTGAACATAATTCACCGATGCTTGGTATGGGTTACTGTGGTGGGAATGGTAATAGTGGGATATACAGTAGTTAGTACTGACGAAACAGCTATTGTTGGCGACTCGCCAAACGCACAAAAAAAACATAGATAGCCCTATAGCGTGTTGTGTATCGTGGCGGTAGTAGCTCGGCTCTTCCACCCAAGCGATTATTGCGGCTCCTCCTACCATACTACCACCACTTCTGCCCCCCGAAATTTTCAAAGCGAGCTTTTGGCTACTTACATCATCTCATCTGACCTCCAAGTTATATTACGGATACTAATGGGCACGTGTTGTGCTTTAACCTCATCTGCACTTTACTGGGCTGAGAATTAAACCTTATTGTAAAACTTTCAGATATACTCGTGGGTCCTTACTTGTGACGTTGTATGTATCTTATGGGTATGTTAGATTCAATAACCACCAGCTCCGTTGTGGAGGTTTGACCGTAGGAATCATTTATTGAGAGATAAATGTTTATGAAAATTACTGAGTCTGAATCTTTTACAAAAAATACAATCACAGAAAGACATAAGCTTCGGCTTCTTACCGTTTTTGTTGGCCCCTCAAAAATTTTTCAATGTTTATAATTATAAAGGGCTGTTTGACTCTCGCTCAGCGGTGGTTGGAAACGTAAAACTTTAAGCTGTGCTTTGAGCCAAAGGTTGGAAGCCGAGGAAAAGCGTGGATAAAAAAGAAGAGGAAGTAGGGGTGAAATTTGCAGATTGGCGGGATGAGAAATTCGGGGTGCCAAAGTTTCCTCCAAAATGTTTGGCGGGACTCCCACCCTCTTGCACCCCAACAGTGTTTTTAACTACTGCCGAAGACGTACTCGTCGAGTCAACATTTCAACTTCTTCTGACGAGCCCTTTCAATGATGTTGTATTCAAATGTAAAAACAGAGAAATTAAACTTCATACCCAGAGTTATATCCTGATGGGCAAGAAGTTTTTATTTTATCCATCTTGAGCTTCAGTGCCATTTTTTTACCATTTAAACATTTTATTCCAAGAAATAAAATAATAATTCATTCTTAAATTTTTCCGACCAAACAAGTTGTACTACACGTATATTAATTATTAAACTTATTTTTTGCCATCATCGTCCAAATAAGCCCTTCAATTCCATGTCGATAAGTACTGGAGCCCAACGCGACAAAAGTCGAAAGAATAAAAGCCCATAAGTATCGTTCAAGCAAACAAATAATATTCATTCACTCTCAATGTAATCCCCATTCGTCTTTCGTGCTCACGACATAATCGTATCATGCGCAAGCAGTTTATTGTTTCCTGAAATAATATGCATCCTTTTCCTAACCACCTTCGTCGTCCCCCTTCGTATGAAGACTTAAAAAACCGACGAGACGAGGTGGTGACGGACAAAACGCCGACAGATTAAAAATAGTCCCCCCTTCAAAAAAAAAAGTAGTCTCGAGTCAGCTTCTTTATAACTCCAGCCCTTTCTTTTGCTCTCGCAATTGAAAACCGAAAACGCTTTCAAATGGGGCAGCCGAGCCGATCGTAAAACTTACAAATCGACATAAAAACAGGTTTTAAGGATTATGCCGTTTCGACGGGAGACCGTAAGTAAATCGGGGTGATCCTGGTCACGTGCCGTGTAGCAGTAGTAGTGCGGTAAAAACAGTAAAATGGAGCACCATTAATGGGTCACACCTTGTTGGTATGCGTTCTTTTGTCTTGCTGGTTTTTTCCTGATGATTTGAGATTTTTATGCCTACCGGGTGTGCTTGAACATGTACTATTTAACATTCACGTTTTTGTGAAATCCTTGAGTGTACCAAACATTTTTTTTTTCACTTACAAAACTTGCAAACTCCCGAGTATGCAGTGGATGAAAAATCAACTCACTTTGAATAGTATCCGAGCGAGCGAACAATTTTCCTCAAAACTCGTGCGCTCCTACGGTAGCGTATAAAAAAAATAAGCTGCAACAGTATCCTTCGCGCCATTCACGTGTCATTCATCGCAGCCCGACACCATTCAACCTTTTAAAAGCAGCATTTTTCGCGCGCGTGCACACACACATATAATATAGATATTCCCACATTACTCCCTAATACGACCTTTAAAAGTACCAGAAAGCGTAGACTTGCGCCACTGCTATACCGAGAGAGATAAAGACTGCAGAAGGAAAAGAAACCAGCATCAGCCCCCATGAAAAAGAAGTAATGCTCTTTTCATGGCTCGTACGTGAACTTTTTCCCTTACTTTGAACATACGCGCCTATCGCGACTCTTTTTTTTTCCTGTTTCTTTTACCTGTTTTTTTTTTTTTTTTCTTAACCTAAAAGTAGCTTTTACTGCTCGAGCTGCGCGGCAGAGTACACGAGTCTTTTATATTTGCTTCGATGCTCGCGATTCTCGATAAAATGCAGCAGCACGCGGAATCGCCGATTTTAGCCCGGTTCTCGGGCTTCCATTAAACGAACACTCTTGCACGCCTTCCTTCGCCCAACTGATAATGCCAAGCTTTATGAGCGCCTGCTCAGCGTGTAAGCTCGGAAGGGTGGATTTATTGGATGCGATAAATCTTGCGTGGATTAATTGCCCGGATTTTTAGGAATTTTCGATTTGCGCGTTCCGTAAAAAGAAGTTATCGCTTTTTGCGCTTCTCCTAATTCAGGAATTATTCATGGATATGAAAAATTGTTACTATTTATTTATTTCCAATTAAATACAAGTACTTGAGAATTAAAGCTGATGTATTTAATATGAAAATGTCTGCGGTTAACTCGGTTAACGCCATCATAGAAACCTTTGAGGAATATTTGAAATATTCGAGTAAGTTCGTTTGATTTAAAATAGAAAAAAAATGTGGAACATTCAATTTCTTTGGGCAAAGCATTTTAGGCTCTGTGACCTCTACTTATGTTGTAAGCTCTGATTTTACGAAAATACTCTAAAATGAAAAAACAAAAAATCAAGTTGCACTGAATTTACGATTACGAAAAAGCTTTTACGGTAAATCACGCTTTTAGTTCGCAGTTTATGAAACAATAAAATGTTAAAACTGCACTGCACTGGCCATCCATCTTCTGAATAAGCAAACATCCCGATTTTCATTCGACCAAATAAATTAGTCAAACACCAGCAATTAACTTTGTCTCTTGAATTTAATATTAACCTCCACCGCGCCAATCTCGAGAATCGCTTTTGGTATTCTTAAAAATAAAATATAAAAAACTTGACCGCTAATAATTAATATTTCCTATATATCCATAATATAAATACCCCAACCACATATTGGACGCGACTCTTTTCATTATTAATTCATTTATTTTTTCATTTCTTATTGAAAAATATTTGTAAACACATTTTTTACGAAAAAATACTATTCTACTGAAATTGAAATTCCACACTGCTCCAGTACGGCGGCCAAAGCTTCGAATATTACTCTGTATACTACAAGTGCAAGCCGAGGCGAAGAAATTCGAGTTCACACGAGAGTAAAAAACGACGTCGTCGCACGAAATGAGCGAATATCCACTGGCGTTGCACTTTCGATCCATTTGGAGTGTGTCGTAGAAAAGCCGAAACTGCGCAACGCGATCGGTTATGTTGTAATTCTTTGTACGTTCACTGCCGCCGTATCACGTAAAAGTCGAGGAAACTGTGTAATATATTCCTTTCAAGACCCACGGCTTTCTTCTTGCGTACAGGTCAATGCTTTATTTATTGACTGGTACATCGTGTTTCTCTCTTTTTTTTTTCATTTTTTTATCCTCGTAAGATTAGAAATTTTTCTGTTGTTGCAAGTGCGCACCACTGATTCAATTAAAAACTTGACTACTTCCAAATTTCTATCGATGATGTGCTGGAAGAAATAAAGCAGAAGATGATGTTACATAAATCCGTTCCCCGAAATGAATTTTGCGCCTCTAGAAGCCACCTCGGATCAAGAGAAATACTCAAATCCTCGCGAAAAAATAAACTTATGGCAAAAGAGCACCACGTGAGTACTCTTTCCCTCTTTCCTTTGAAGTTAAAATCGAACGGAAACAGTATCAATAGCTTTGACTCTTATCGCCTGGTAGAATAAGATAATGATAATAATAATAAAAAAAAAAAACTCAGCAGCTGGCTAGCACACTAGACATAACATCTCTCGTATCTAAAGAGTTATTACCACGCTGAAGAAAAACGAGCGATGCTTGCAGGGTTGAGGTGCGAATTATAATTCATGGAAGATTAGAAATGTTATCCCTGTTTCAATCATTTTTTTTTTTTTTTTTTTTTTTACAGGTGACATGGAGATGCTGACCTACTTCTTCGGACCGATTGGCCTACTCCTTGCAATAAATCTTCTATTTTTCTCGGCAACCGCCCGCGAGTTGACGTGCGGCCTCTGGAAAGGCGAATTCGTAAAAAGCACCACTGAAAGGTAAGTCGATTATTTACCTTATTCAAATATAAAGGATGGGGGGGGGGGCAGAGTACAGTGAAGAAGTAAAGGGGAAAAAGAGAAAGAAGAGAGAACCAGATAATAAATCAAATATTCAGTGTGCAGTGTAGCAGAAGCTTTCTTTTCTTTAGAGGCTTTAGAACTTACGAGGTTAAATAATAATCGAAAGCAAAATCTAGCCTTCATGATCATGCTACTGCACCCACTTATTAAAAAAAGCTGAGCCTGTTCATTTGTTCACGTAGAGACTTTTTCAACGAATGCTGCTTTTTTTGTTCGGATTTACCTCTGTTCGGACTCATGATTCCGTGCAATACAGAAAAAATTAAGTCCAAGTGATTTTTTTTAAACTAATGGCGGAAACTGGGTACTCTAGTATCTTTACATCTTTTTCTCGGTCTTTTGATTTTATAACGAAGGTGAACAGCACGGCAGTTGTAATAAAATTGACTAAGCATTTATTTTTATTGTGACGTAAGTCTGAAATTTAGATTTAATTGCCATTAGGTTTTCCTTTCACGTTTAATAAATGAAACCACTGACTCGGAACGAAGAGAATTTCACGGGCCAAAACGTATAGACCAGTCCCGTTTTTCAGTTTTATTCTCCAAAATAGTTAGAACAATCACAAAATTCAGCTAAAAATAAACTGTAAATATTTTTTCAGTACACAAACGTGAAATGAGCTCGCACACGTGTATTCCGCGAAGCATGCTTTATTTTTTGTTCGCCGAAAAAAAAGCTCTCAATCGTATTTGACGGATCAAAAAACATCAGAGAAAGAGAAAAGGATATGGTATCGAGAAACGTGCATTCATAGTTGGATGTTTTGCCAAAACGATCGGACGTCATTTCCTTCCAGATGGCTTCGAGCTTTTAACAAGTAGAGATGAAAAGAAAAAAATTTTTTAATATTTTTTCAGCTTGTAATAACAGAACTAAGCCATGTCATTTCATCGAAATCTTTCAAACTTGATGTAATCATAATTATTCAAGTACCATGTATTTATTGGGAAAGCAATATAGAAAACCCACCCTTAAATCTTAACGATGAATAAATGTTGAGCCCATCATCATTAGGGCCATGCACGTACTTTCATTCCAAGATAATTGCCCCGTGTAAGATCCACAGCCAGTCATTGTCGTAGTAATTGTAACGTACAACGTAGCCCATAAATTCAGTTTAGCTCCAACATTCGTCGAAACAACTGAGATGTAAATTTCCCCAGTCATGCTCGTAATACACGTGAGCCGTGGCATTGTTGGAAAACATGCCAAGTTGGATAATCTCCCCCAATTGCTGTCTTTAAATTTTGACTAATTGACCGTATTTGTGCATAAAATGTGTATACCTTTGCCTGTGGCATACATTTCTTCTAAAATCACATTTCACCCCCAGTGCGTATATATCATACATGCACTACGCGTATCACACACCCCCTGTACACAAATGCTAAGTGCGTCTGTTTTTACTGATACCACATAAACAACCCGAGCTTTTGTAGCTTTGATGTTGGGCTTCTTTTTAAATGCACCTTCCCGTGTTTGAGCTCACGCTGAGACGACATGCTTAAATAATCTTGACGTATCGTTCACGAGCAATTTTTTATCCTCGAAGAAACGAAAAGAAAATGTAGCAAAGTAATCTTGAACACCACCCAATTCCTCGGGTGAGTAGTCTAATTTTATAACGAACAATGACAACTAAAGACATGCAGTAAGAATAAGTTGTAATGATATATCCGTGTGACAATTGTTGATGAAAAATTGCCAGTCGGAGGGTCGTGGGTGTCGATAAGTGCAGAATTTAACGTCTCATCAGCCACGTTGCGTCTTACACCGTCTCTGTGACAAAACAAATTAGAATCTGCTACTCTCTCGGCTTGTCGATGTACCAAGAGCAGATGCACCTGTGAGTACAACGTTTAACTGCACAAGGAGGGTATCTGTTGGAACGAGCACGGGGACACGCGAAATTACTCTCGCACAGCGACGAGTATTCACAGGGTGAATTACTCGGCGTCTGATATCCATCACGCCAATGCCGTACGTATATTTCGGAGGTTAGATCGCCTGTACATCACATTAGGTCATACTGAGAGAGAAAGAGAGAGAATCTGTTATAAATCATCTCTGCTGCAGACGGAGGAGCTAATCGTGACTTACCCAAGTGCGCGGTACAATGATCCGCGCCAAGTTTTTTGTACGTCTTTATTCATCCGAGTCTCCAATATTCCTTAATAGTTACGCTCTGGTGCACCTGCTCTCTCGTAGGTGGTTCATACGTCCATGTGTATAGGTACTGTGTGTGTGTGGGGAAGTACATTCCGCACTTCTCGATACCTCAAGCATCGGGTCTAAATCTTATTCCAGGCGATCTTTCTCTGTGTCTCTCTTTTTGCTTTTCGAGTTGCTGCGTACGTGGGCGTAACTTTTGAGTCAGTGAAAGTGCGCTGTCTAAGTAGTTGAGACTGATGGAATGCACATAAATTATGTTATATTATATTATGACGAGCACGTCATTTTTCCCCCATTTTCATGCTGCTCTTGCTCAAACACCATTTTATCTGGTGTCAATTTTTATGTTCGAGATAAACGTCAGTGATTCTCTCTTCCGTATATCTTTCCAGACATCATGCAAGCTAATTTTGAGCACCTCGTCGCTTGGAATTGGATAGGTGTCTTTTTGTCCCTTGGGCTGTAGATTACGCTTCCCAAGCTTTTTGGCTGTTTAAGCCTCGAACTTTTGAAATGTAATAAAAGTGGTTGTCCTGCGCATAACAGAGTATGAATGAGTAATTACTTACATTTTTAGTTGCGATTTCTCGTTTTCATTTATTGGTTCGTATGTACAGAGTCTCGATGTGAAAAAATTCACGATGACAGAGATGATTCAGATTTTTGATGAAATATTTACGTGCTATTTTTAGATCATGTTTCATTTTTCTGAATATATACGTGTCCGTGAATAGTAGCTATACAATTTACAAAATAAGCTTTCTGGTATTAAGACTTTGCTCAAAGTTGAGCCAAAATACAATTTCTACCGTACACGAGTGCATCCTTTAGAAACTTGGTTATATAATTATGAAATAATTATGAGAAGCCACACGAGGTATTTAACCTTAATCTGATTCAATTTAAGTCCTGTATCCGCTTTGTATGATACGAAAATCCAAAATTTTATGACGTTCACGTGTAAATAACTTCGAACGCATGCTGTTATGTTCAAAAACTCGTTAGCAGATACAAAGAAGCAAAACTACATTAACGATATTCTTTGAGTCAAAATATTGTGAAATAAAAATCATGTGTCATAATCTAATGCAAAATGTTATCCATTCGTGAATCGAATCGGTATGTCGCTTTGTGCTTCCCAATCATACAAAAAGAAGAAAAAAAGTACCATTTGGCTTACATTTCACTGAGCCATCGGTTTTAAAGCTGATGAGGTAGTAATATACAATAAAATAGTGCATCACCCATTCTATTGCTCTATTTCTTTTGGATATTCACTTGTTAACTTTAAGATCGATTTTAGGGGACTTTGATAAAAGCCACGCATAGCTATTTGTCTTTAGTTACCTCCTACTCTGTACTACAGAACTTTTGCCGTCATCGTCGTATCCACTGCTATGCTCCCGCGGGGTAATAAAGAAGATCGACGTAGTAGCTGCTGGTGCTTCTGTGTGCACACTATCATTTCAATCGGCCGCAGTAATTCTCGATCCCAGGCATTAAGTATTCTCCCATGTATAGAACTGCTTTTCTTCAAGACTTTTACTCAAGCAAAGTGAGCTCAACCCATTGTCGAGAAAAAAGTTCTTTGATTCCTTACAAAGCATAATTTCGTGTGTACAAAGCCAAAGTACTCCAAAGCTTTTAACATTTGGACGTCTTCATTGTATGTAGATACGATTTGATTCGAAGTGGTACAGGGATATCTTTTTTTTTTTTTATTGCACACTGGGTGTGCTTTCTATACTTATAATGGAACAAATACACAACTCTTCTAAATGGTGTATCGTTAAATACTGTACCTTCCTTTTCTCAGTCCCGAGCAATAAAATAAATGGTCCGACAAATTTTCCGCGTGTAATGCGTATCTTGCGGAACGAAACCTCCTCCGTGTTTGTACCATGTAGGCACCACTTGCAGCTGTTAATAATCGTTAAAGCCGGCTCTCGAGAGACACACCGAACTGGTGAACATCTCCCGCGATGCTTTTATACCTGATGCCGGCAATTACTAGACCACTAGTTTGCTCTTTGCCATCTACTTTTTCGTTTGCTCGCTTTGCCATTTATTTCCTGTGATTTAACTGCGATTGTGAGAAATGCGATCGAGAAATTTATGTGTACACACGTACATGGGATTAAACGAGTGCCTTTCCTCGATATTTTATACCCATTGAGCAGGTGTGCAAGAAGATATTAACTTTTTGCAATCGTGATGCCCTGTTCAACGACTCGGGGATGAGATTTTCGTGTTTGTTTCAATGCTACAGCCGATGACCTGCGGATCGTTGGTATTGTTGCTCGTTATCGCTGATTGCACTTTATTTTCTCGTTTAATTTTGCCGATACTAGCTCACTTTGATTTGCGTTTGATTGCAAAAAGACACGCTGAACCATCCATACTTTTCAACGTGGGCGCACATTTGTATGTTTTTTTTTTTTTCTTTTTTTTAACATCGTTTTTGTTTTCAGTTGGAAGGGAAAATTAATTTGGCATCGAGCATGAATATCGGGTGTTTATCTCTGCTCCTCCTACATTAAAATCATCAATAACATGAATTTGGGAAAAGTTAAAATATCGCATTAGATCGTGCATTTGAGTTATTCAAGTTCGTACGAAATTTTTTAATGAAATCACGTAAAATATTTGTTTTCAAGCTATGATAAAAAATAGTAATAAATTAATGTTTGGATAAAACTAGGATCAAAAATACGTCCACCTTCGATGAATCGCTGTGATTTCGGTATAAAAATAAACTACACCGTTAATCCCCTTCATCACCGCAAATTTTAAAAACGTCACGAGTACTTCTCAATTTTCTCCCGACCAAAGCGGTAGAGAGGAATAAATATCATTTACACGGGCAATAACGTTCGGTAAGCCACAGCAAGGAGGTTCCAATTTCGAGCTATTAATAATGCAAAATGATCGCACAGAGAGCGGCATGACCACTCGACGGCTGAACCTGGCTTTTTTTTAATGGTTCTTCGTGAACCATTTAACGTAATCACAGAGTGTGAAGAGCTCTTTGTGCGCCGAACGCGAAAAATCGAGAGAAAGAGAGCGACTACCTAAACGCTCGGCGCGTAATAAGCGCTTTCCAAAAGAAGCGAGAGCTTATCGATCAAACCCTATACTCTCGAAGAAGAGATAAAGGGATAATGGAGGAGGGAAGATAAGGAGATCCGTCGAGCGCTGTACTCACGCTTATAGCGCAATGTTGTTCGATCGAACGCGCCTCTAGCGAGTGCTTGTAATGGCAGAATTATTCGCACTACCTTATATTTATTTATTTATTTATTTATTTATTAATATTTTACGAGATTAGAATAGAAAATTGTCTCTGAGCATTTTTCTTTCCATGTACACTTGCGTGGAAATGTTTTTATTCGGATTTTTAGGGTTCAACGATTTCCTTACTCTCCTTGGGTAATTTTCGTTTTTCACTCTTTCGCTAGTTTCGATGACTATTACTCCCGACTCTGCTCATTTTAGTACATGTCTGTAGAAATTTTTCAGAGCCTATATACTTTTTAAATCCAAGGGAAGGCAAATAAATATTTTAAGAGTCATGAAACTTGAGTTATTTATATTACAAACACGCAAAATTCCTTTTTTTTTTATTTTATACACTTAAACACACTGTCTCTCTCTCTTTATCTCTTGACTTTTCTTCTTTTCTTTGTATTTACTTTCTGTACTTTTTTGGCATATTTGCAGATCGCGTGCCATACCGAGAACAAATGAAAAACCAAGACAGCACACCAGTCGTAGGTACGGAAATACTTTTTTTATATATATATTTTTTTTTTCACGCTTGCCATTAATACTTAGATTTAGAAGGAAAAAAAGGTTTTAAATTTTTTTATTTCATGACGAACACCGAGTTACCGCTTTTTATGTTTAATAAAATCTCACAGCTGCTTAAAATATAGTTTCATAATCCCACGTGTAACATCACCTGCTCACAGTGATTTCATTCATCGTGTATTTTCATTCTTCTCGCATGCAATCGAATGTAGAATCAATTAATCATCAAGACATTTTTTATTCAAAATCACGTATTAACTATTTGTTTTAATAAATTTAATTTATAAAATTTCCAATCATCCATTTAACAAAGTGTGGGGTGAAAACGTATGTTGAGTATCGCTGACTCAACTACCAAAAAGTGCACGGTTGTATTTCAGTATACTGAGATGGAAAATTTGCCAAGTCGGGCTTCAAAAAATAGCCAGTTTCTTCTTGTTGCCATAGCTTGTACCTAAAAGCCGTACAGTCCAATGAAAAGAAACTGCAACACCGGCGCAAAATCCTTCATGCCTAAAAACTACACGTAAAAATAGAGGAAGAGCCTCTTGTTTTCGACGAGACACGGCGACTCGTATAAATTCAGGCTCATCCGATGGTAAAATGGGAATTCCCGAGGAGTGTGTGTAGTGGAGCGTCGCTTGCTCGTAAAGTTTCGGCGAACGAATCGCACCCGAAATCTGCTGTAGCGGAACTCGGCGAAATTCGCCGGCTGGCTGGATGCGTGTCCTTTCGTTCCAACGTGCCGTGATATCTTATATTTGATTTTAGTTTTGTCTACCTGGACTTTTGGACCGTAGTTGTTCTCATCCGCTTGACCGTGAAATGTAGAAAATGTAGTTGTATCATTTTATAAGTGTCAATTTTAGGCCTCCATGAGCACCAAATATTTTTTGAGATTCCTTATAATTGTACTATATTATTATCAGAGTTGACAAACGATTCTTAAATTATTACTGTCGATCAGAAATACAAGTAAGGTTTCCCAATACTTTCTTTTCTTTCTGTATTTTTAACAAATGATTCAACAAACACCTACTTTTACTTCTATGAACTCTAGGTACTGTACAGTTTCAGGTTTTTTAAATCTTATTTTTTAACAAAGATTACCAAAGTACTGCAATCATTCTCTCTTTACTGTGCACGCACTTGCATAAACTTTTTTCATCTCGATCTTTATTTTTAGCCTCGAATATGAGAAAAGTCTAGAGTAAGCAAAGACAAATTATCTTTATGCATGAAAGCTTTCAGTGGCAGATGCAAGCTCTTCAAAAGTTTTTACTAAGAAATTTATTTATGACTTGTATGTAACCTCATTTTAATGAAGAACAAACGGCATGTGGTTTACTTTAAAGAAAAGCGTCTCTGTAGTTGAAAAAATACAACAATAGATCGTTATTTCATGGTTACTCAATCAAGAGATTTTCACGTCTAACAACAATGGAAATGAGCCAAATCCTGTGCAATTGGAAAATGACTTAAAAATGAATGAAAAAATTGTTAAATAATCGTGTTTTCAACAAACAAAAATTAATTTTATCAATAATAATAAAAGCTTAACAAAAATGCACGCAACAATTATTACCTGCACAACATGAAATCATCTTCTTCATATACTCTCTGCGGATATCACGTGTTCCCCACAAGTATGCGTAAGCCCATCGGGCTCATTAAAGCCTTTTGCGCACGTGTATACCTATGTAGTCCCAAGCGGCCACTATGCAGCTCCATTAAACATACCATTTACCACCGTCCAATGGCAGCGGTTAACGCGATGTATTTTAGAAATATCTCGGGGTTAATAAACGTCTGCTGAATCGCCGCTGCAAATGCGTTTTCGACTCTCGCATCACAATACCGCATGCATGCACGGGAGAACCTGTTTTCACGCGCGCAGCAACAGAGATACGGATAGAAAGGAACGTACCACGTACTCGAGAGTCCCTCTCTGGCTTTTTGCTATTTCATAGACCACCCTGTCGGTCTTCGGACTTTATTTTCTTTTTCTTTTTTTTTTTTTTTTTTTTTCATATCGAAGATACCGCGCTACTCTGTAGTTGGATGGTGGTAGGTCAGGTGTCGGGTTTCTCGCACCTCTCGCGGCTCATTAAGCCAATTAAAGCGCCCGTTTAATTCATGCGGGTCGCTCTGCAAGCTGATTACCCGATGGCTACTCCTGCTTTTGTTAAAACTACTGCTCGGTGATGGACTCTGCATTTAAATTTTTATTTTTCATTGTATGGTATCCAACACCCACAACTGTATCTGTATTAATTGTTACTATACGTGATGTGTTAGGGGTAATAAGGGTTGCGGTCCCTGCATTTCCGTTACTTCTGTCTCATTGTTTTTACGAAGATTACGACGTAATGCTCGTGCATGTGTCTGTTGTAATATTGATAGCTCGCATAAGTGCCACTCTCAGGTTTACGTCTCTACTAATTTTCAGAGTCTTCGCGTACCTCATTGCAAATATATCACGTGATACTTGGACCTTCCGGTCCCAGCAGGCGATTTTTTTTCCTCTTCAGCTCTGCCGTGATCATTTGTCGTCGCGTCGGTTGATCTTTCTTTCCGAGGGATTTTTCAGAGTGCCAACAACTTTGCCCCCTTCTTGCTGCTTATATACACGTATATAAATGGAGCATTAACGAGTTTCGCCGCTAATTGCGAAACGTTTTGCACAAGGCGAGAGATGAGCGAGGGTTAAGATCCTTTCCCCCTGCTCCCTCTAAGGCGTCTTTAAGAAATAATTAGACCCTTCGAGAGGAAGATATTGCATGAAATTCTCCTCGGAGGGTCGCAGCTCTTTTTTTAAGCGGAGAAATTATAGGCCGCCACCGCCGTGCCCCCCCTCTCGTGCGAATTAACGAGATTAAAGGTACTCGCGATCTTCACACCGGTGCCGTCGCCGTGTCTTTCTCTTTTTCGTCCCTCTGAAGGGTTTTTTTTCTTTCTTTTTTCCCTTTACGCGAGGTAATCGTACATAATTTCGGCTTATGCATGCGTTTCTCCATGCATCCCTTTTGGATAACATTAACGGCGATGCTCGACTATTTTTACTTCGCCATCGTTTATGCAATTTTCTCCCTCAATTTTTTTGTGAACACGTGGCGTAAGTTATACGTGTAATCTATGGAAAACCAATCGTTCTCTCGGACGCTCAAGCTGATTTATATTTGATAAAGACCTCGGTGCCATTCTTTGACGTCAACTGTGGAACAACCACTTGGATATATCTTCTCTTGATACTATACGTGCAGTCGGATACTCTTCAGGAATGAATTTTAGGATCCCAACTTTTCATTCGAGTCTGAAAAAAAGGCTTATCAACCATATTTTCTCTCCAAACAATCTGTACGAAGCATATATGTACATGAAATCCGTGCCCAGGCGATACATCAAAGAGATTGACGTCCAACAAGATTCATACATAAATAAAACATGGCCAACAAGACCATTTGGTGTTTTGTATCCTGGTGTAGATAATTACCAGCAGCAGCTCTGCCATCAGAGCCGTGCACCAAATCAAAAAGCCCACTTGTAAGGCAATTATTTTCCCCCCGCGATGTTGTACAGTGCACAAATAGTAGTAGGGCGAGGGAGATACCTATACTCTTTCGACCGCCCGTAGCAATCATCGGGAGAAAAATCTCGCCTTGTTATCGCGGAACTTGTTTCTTCCCCGTCAACCGGCTCTCTTCCTCCTCGCGGTCGGACAAAGCTCACCGATTTGTTGGCTTTGAGCGTCACAGGTTGTTCGCCGATACGAGTGAAAAGTGTTTGCCGTTGCTTTTAAAAAAGTTTTTCTTTCTTTCGTCTATCGCTGTGTAGCGTTATTTTGCTCTTGGAGTGAAATGTTGGGATATTTTGAATAATCACTTTATTACTGGAAGTAGTGGCAATTTTTTTATGTAGTCATCTCACGATTCGCCTGCGTTACTAACACGCTAACCACTTGACTGTACAACTGAAGCTTCCAAATTTAAAAAAAATTTTCATATCTACTTCATTTTTACAATTTTTTGCTTGATCAACTACTGTTTTGCAACTATTATCGTTCGAGGAACCTATACTTATTTCTTTTGCTACGATGTTTTTTTTTTTATTTTTTATTTTTCTTTATTCGTTTCTCCTTTTATGTACCGACAGAATTATCTTTCTTTCCTATTTTTCGCCATTTTCTATTCGGAGTATCATGATTTTTTTCAAACTACTTCCCTTTCTCAACCAAGTAACCTTGTTTTGGACTTTATCCTTATTTTTACTTCTAAATGAAATATGTCCTGCATTACTTTTTACATTGATTAAAATTCACCTTGCCGTGCAGACACATTTACTACACTTTGAAAAAAAAAAAAAAAAAAAAAAAAAAAAAAACCAAAGATTTTCGTGCGGTCTTCTTTGTCGTAATCTTACAATAGCGGGTGGTCCGACGAGGAGGTGATTCCCGTGCCAGCCATTAACGTTAAAATTAAAACCAGCTCGCAAACACAAGTCGTCTGTAACCCATTTTTCCGCTCTCCGGCACCGTATCTTCCACCTACTATACTCTTCGGCGGCTCTCCCCCGCCATAGAGTGAGTTGTCGCGTCTCGGCGCTCTCGTAATAATTAGCACAGAAGAGAGAAACACGTTGGCTGCTCCGCACAGAAATAGAAGCGCATCTCGACGCTTCCGTGATTCTGCGCGCCCCAATCGCTACTTACACTGCTGTTGAGAACTGCGAGTCGAGCATCTGCAAAAAAGAGACAAAGAGAGAGAGAGAGAGAGAGAGAGAGAGAGAGTAGCACCACCGCGCAACAATGCAAACCCTTGCTCGAAAGGCCCGTCTTGACGTACCTAATTAGCGCAAGTTAATTTTACGTAATTGATACTGTTAGTTTGATGAATGCTTATCTCGGAATAGACGTAGTTTGATGTTGATCATTGTCAAAGGACAATCGCTCAGTTTTCGGATTGCCACGCGTTGTTTGCAAATTTGATACTTGATAAAGAAAATACCCTCCAGGTGTAAATAAACTAATTTCCCCTAGAAAGCACATATGGTATTTGTAGCACATAATATGATTATTTTTGTCCCTGCACCTAAGCATCCCGAAATTCCTAAATCTCGACAAGAGCTGCTACGCTCGAGTAATGTGCAGCGTACCTCTAAGCTCGCCACGGTCCTCTTCCACTGTCGTATCCCTCGCGTTAACCCTTTCGCACGTGCGTCGCCCGTTCGCTCTTCCGCATTAATTAATTACACGTGTATGGCATTAACGCGCACGCAAATGCATAATAATTCAGGTAGACGGGCAGAAGCTCTTGCAGCCACGTATACATAAAGGTTGTGCGCTTGCGCTTCGTCTCGCCAATTTTGGCCTATTATTGTCAAAACACGCTCTCGAGCCGCTTCGCTTTCCTACTATCTCTCGCGTGTCCTTTAATTTGCAATTTATGCAAAGCTGTGGGCTGCCTCTTCCGACCCCTTCCTCCTTTTGGGCTCACTTGTGAGCAATTTGCGAAAATTTACGCGGATGGATCACTGCTGCCTCCGGCCTTACGCGTGGCCCTCTCTTTTCTACATATCCATTACTTAGCAACGAATAATTATGGTGTACATGCGCAGTTCTCTTAGTCGACCATGTGTGTTGAGTATTTTGAGATTTTGTTATTGGTAGCCAAGAGTTGGTGAACAATTTTTTAATTAGAAAAATATGAAAAGAAGAACTCGAATGTTAACAGAAGTATGACGATGACATTAAAAAACACTAATATCTATAAAAATCTTTCTGACCCTACTGTAGTACGAGCATCATTTTAGTACTCCTCTTACCCTTATTTCAGACACAAACTTAAATCCTAAATTCCTGAGATACCTGGCTTTTTAAGTCTTTTACTCATACCTACCATGATGTAGCTGGTAAGTTTTGTTTATGGCTAATATTAAATCTACTCAAAAACTAAATTTTTACAATCAAGTTGATGAAAATTGTTAATATTCTACCTCTGTACAGTTATAGACGACAGGTACAATCTAAAATATGCCAGCAGTCTTCATCATATTCTAATAATAATCATCACGAATAGTTGATATGAGTTACCTTTTAATTCTACAAATAAGTTCTCTGTTGTATTTAACTTAAAAAATTTACTGAAATAATCCATGCGTTTCAAATTTTACTGAATTTTGGGTACTATCCTTTTTAGTTAAGCCAACGTATTGTTATAATCTAGAAATTTTTATTCGTTTCTAATTTATATTTTACCCTCTTTAACGTTACTTATTTACTCATCCAAAATTATTAAAACTATCATTTGACATTTCATACCCAATTCATATACTCCAAAATCGTCTCACACACATGGTTCTCAATACAATGACAATTAGAATTAAATTTAATTGACAATTACTTATTAATCACCTTAAGCAATTAATGTGCCTTCGTATTATCGATAAAACAAAAGAAAACTTAAAAATAAACTTGATACATGAACATCACAACTAATCCCTTATTGCCCTGCAATGCACCACTTCCAAGTGACCACTGATCAACACAATTTTAGACAGGACTAATCCAAGCCTCGCTTCTCGTCTTCTGTTTGTTTCAGAGCCGCGCTGAGCAAGGTCTGCCTGAAGCTCGTGGTGGTGATGGGCGTGCCGTGGATCTTTGATGTGGTGTCGTGGCTGGCCGGTGGTCCAGCCTTCCTCTGGTACCTGACCGACGTGCTAAATGCTGCCCAGGGCGTCCTCATCTTCATCGTCGTGGGCTGCCAGCCTCAAGTGCGCGCAGCCCTCAAGCGGATCTGGTCATGCAATCCTCGTGCCAACGCTAGCCGTCAAGGAAACGGGCTGAGCACCACCAGCCACGGGATGCCCAGTATGGGCGACAGCGTCACTCAGAACCCCAGCACCAAGACTGCACCGCTCGAAACTATCTGCTGAACTGGGATGCGTGGAACCACACATTGGCGCATCGTTGATTCGTCGATTTGTTTGTTATTTCAGAAGATGCAAGTCGATGGTAAAGCTGTGATGGTTATAGTGAGCTGTGATTTTTAAGTATTTCTACTTGCAATCGTACATATGGGAGACAAAACTTTCTTTTTGCTCGCGAAGAAATCGTTTTTGTATGTGCAGTAGAACCACCGATTCGTTGTGATTCCATAGTGAGAGTCGACAATTTTTCCGATCCGTAAGCTGTACTGTGTAGTACAGTTTGATCGATCGCCGTACGTTGTCGATTCTTCTGAGGAGCAAATAAATGGAGATCATATGAACGGATGAGGGTTACTTTGCGCGTCAGATCGTAAAATGACGTAAAAAATCGAGGGGGAAGATGGAGATGACGATGCTCTTGCAAAGTTGATACACGTCACGCGACTACCCTTTTTTTACGGTGGATGAAGCGTGAAATGGAGTAGGGAAGATTTTTGTCTCTATTTTACTGTAAAATGGATGAGTGGGTGTTCTGATCTGAAAGACTGATGCGCCTCGTGGATAAAGTGTAAAGCTTTTTTATGAAAAAGTGAGTTTTCTATGTTTACCTGCAACTGATTCTCCGTACGAACGAAAAAAGACTGTACGCTACCAGTGGTTGGTTTCAATCTTGGGCGACGTTCAGAGACGTATTTATAAGTTGAATTTGTTACGAAATATTTATAGTTTGGATTTGAAACAATTCACTGAATATTTTTAAAGTATTTTCGCACAAAAACAATGATTTTACAATCAATTTTTGTTTGTTTTTTCATCAGTTTACCTATTACAGAGTAGAGAAGGAATAAAAATTTTCCCCTTGTGTGTAGGTATACAGTACAGTATACTTAAAAATTTTTACATATTTTTTTATGAAACGTCGACTTTTTAAGTGTTATGTCTCTGTCAAAAAAGAGAAAACATATACTAGAATTTAAACAAAAATTAAACGTCGCAGTTAACAAAAAAACAATGGAAATATTTTCTGTACGACCCTTTTGTACAAATCTCGTTTAGAACTAAACATTTCGGATAAGCCAATTTTTATAAATAAAAAAAAAGTGTTCTATCGCACTTTTATACAGCTGATGTGATGATTGAAATTTTACACGCAAAACGTCCGATCTACGAAAAAAAGCTAGGCTGGTATATCTTACGCACGTGCCAACAGTCAAATTATTTGCTGCACGTTTGAGGCTGCCAGTATACAGGAGAACCAAAAATAAGAGCGACCTCGAGTTCCCCTGGAAAACGGAAAAAACCAAAAATGCAGCAACAGCATAAGCGCACTTCTCTTTGAAAGGCTTTTTCGGGACGGGTGCGCTGTTGTTTTTTATACCGAACTACGTTTTTACGAGTCAGGTGTGGCGCGAACAAACGGGGCACAGGGACGACGCGTCCTCCTCTCGATGTCCGGCATAAATTTGCATAAGCACTGCCAGCCGCGCAAGTGCACTTGCTCTTCTGGGCTTCTTCATTTGCATACCCGGAGAGCTATAATAGCTGACTAGCCGGTCGGTCGCACGGGTGACGTGGACGTCGTGCTGTCTGATACTACCGACGCCTCACAAGGATCGCCCTGGGTGACAAGGGTTTGGCTTTCGTCCCTTTTTTTACTTTCTCATATTATGTACCTACATGGTTTTTTTTTGTTTTTTCGAAAAAAAAGTGTGACCAACGCTACACTTACTTGCAAGCGAGAAACTTTGAACAAGCGTTGGTGTGAGTCTTTTTTTTTATTACTTTGAACGAAAAAAATTTCTGTTTTATGAATACGAGTATTTCTGCGGTGGAAATAAGTATGGCAAACTTCCTCACACTTATTAAACCGAAGGGATAAGTTAAAAGAGCTTTAATTAGTAATGATTGGTTCGCATGTGTATAATTTTGATCACTTTAAAGTTTCCATGTACTTAATGGCGATTAATAGTCATTTGTTAATAACTTTATAATTATACAAAAAAAAAAAGTTTTATTTAACTCGGACAGAAATAAAAGATGTACTAATGATTGTTTTTAAAACACTTTAACAATTATATTTATAAAATCCCTAAAAAACAGAAAAATTAAGTCGTGATTTCTCTGGACACTGTCTTTACAATAACATACATGCATAAAATATATTATCGTACATCAGTATACTACTTATGTAATGTGCTATTGCTCCTTTTAAGGGTGGAAAAAAGCCGATATTTTTGCATTGTGTGTATCGCTTGTGCAGTAGCTTGTAGAAATAAGCAAAACTATGTAAGGTAGGAATAAATTTAAAAAGAATGGTTATCGTGACAATAAAAAGAATCTTAGATAGATAAAAAGTATAAGGACTAGCGTTGTGTAGATCAATAAACAAATATATATTCACAAGACTAAAAACTAAATATTTTAAATCTCCATATGCTCGTCAGTACAATTTGTAAACCAGGAAATTCTTTACTAGTTTTTTTTTTTTTTTTTTTTTTTTTTTTTTTTTTCTAAATAATTTATCTAAAAGGTTATAATGATCCATACGAAAATTCTTTGACGTTTTCAGAAACTCGTGTTTAGCCTCATTTGGAAAAAATTGAATGCCTTTTCAAACTGCCTTGCTTATGTGGTGTTCACTCGTGCCGCTTAGTGTTCATAAAAAACTGGGAGGTTCAAGTAAAGCCTGATTATACCTCAATCGTCGAAGTACTTTGGGACCTCAATTCATAACAGAATATAGCTATTGTTAAAAAAAAAACGTGTGGGTCGCGGAAAACCCATTGATTCCATGCAACTATCAATTCATTGTCGAGCGAACATTTCAATGATTGTTGAACAAAGCTTGTCTTATCGGAAAATTTAGTACGTATGAACATTTAATAGTAATAACTCGTGATTTTATTTCAGCAAAAAACGATTTCGGGTAAAATTATCCATTTGTTCGTGCCTGCGTCAGTTTTCCTTTGTTTCAACTCAAATGGCTCGTAAAAAAAGAAAATCTCATTTACATTTAAACACCAGCAAGTTCAAACAGGAGTACACGTTAATATTGTATTTTTGTCTTCAAGTAACGTATCGATCGTAAATTATAAATGACTTATATACCCCACATTTTGGTTTTTACGCGCGTGGTCATAAACTAAATGTGCGCACGTACGAAAAGAACTTCCTCGGTTGCAATGACGCTTCTCTTTTCTGACGACGACTACGACTGCCCGTATACAAACAACCTTAACGGTGTTGTATTCCGTAAATATGAGAAGATATGGTTTTTCAGATATTCTTAAATGCGAAAAATTAAAAAAACTCCAACTAAAACTTCAAGCATCAAGTAATTGGAGACTGCTCTATATTGTCAATAAATTGGAGATAAATTAACAATCAGTTTTGTATTGAGTGCAGTTGTAATTTTGACGAGCAATTAATTTAATCACGAGAACTATTAAAATTGACATTATACTTGAAAGCAAATATAACTGTACTAAAAACACGATGAAAACCAAAAAATTGAGAAAAAAAAAAAAAGTTGATCTGAGTAGAATGTCTCTGTGTATATAAATTTATAAGTATGCTCGTGTATGAGAAACTGAGTATTCTTAGAAAAATAAAAGTAGAAATTACATGGTAAAACTTTTAATACTATGTAGGATGTTCATTGATGCTGCTCAACCCATACAAAGTAAACAAAGCTTTCACCAACAAAGTAAAACTTTTCGTATGCTTTAGCCACATCTTATTGTGATTTGTAAATTTCAGATTCAACAATATCTCAAATAATATGTTTAGTATAACTTTTTCACACAGTCCGAAAATGTCACACTCGATACTACTAAAGGAACGAGCTGCCGCCACCTCCTGAAAATAATAATAATTATAAAAAAATAATGTATACCTCTAGTACCTTACTTTCAAGTGTAGAGAGGAACTTGTGATAGTCTGTGAGAGCGAGTCGATGCATGCAAATCTTGTAGTACAAGTACATAGAGATAAGTACATTCGCGTTTGAATTGGCTCTTATAGCGAACCGCTTGTAAGTGCAATTGAAGGAACGAATCTATAGACTCACATCGCTGAATTAGTTTTATTAATGGAAATTGAAATCGTACACATTAAGGTCCAATGAGTTCGTAATCGCAACCATCGTAAGTAATTAGCTCTACGTAACAGTTTAATTAATATATGTCACAGTATATTAAAAAAATATATAATATTTATAAACATGTTGAGACAAAAAGAGAAAATAAGATAACGTGAACGCTTGATGAGGTATGAAAATTTTTTTTGTAATATTTTCATTGAAAGCTCCTCCCAACAAACTCGTTTCAATACCAAATAGAATAAATAATAATTCGAGAAGAAAAATGTATAAAAACACGTCCATCATAATAATCAGGAAAAGTAAACGCAGTAGCATCGGTAGCGTGACTGACGAATCTAGATTTATATTTATGTATACACGCTCGCAATCAACAAGTGGCAACTTGAAGCCGTCGAGTTAACGTGAGCCGACTTGGCGCTGAAAGAACGTGGATGAAAATAAAAAAGTGATGTAGAAGAAAGCACACGGCGGACGGAGGCTCGAAAAAATGAGAGAAAAAACTCGCTCAGATCGCAGCCACGAGATTTGCACGAACATACCTGTGTGTATAAAATACTGTACTCGAGTCGCATAAGTAATCCCTCTCCAGCGCGTTTAATGTACAATTTACGATGTTAAAAGTGGTATTTAAACTAAGCTTTGATGTTTTGATAAAAAGGTAGGTTGAGGGTTGATAGGAACACGTGTACGGTAAAATCGTTTTGCAAGTGAGAAAAAACACTCTTAAAGCTCACCGTCATAAAATCATTTCGGCAGCAAAAATATAGGAGATAAAGCATTCCCTCGAGACTCTACCATATTTACACCTCGTCATTTGCGTCAATAGCACTAGGTGCGTGATTTTTTGTGTATGTTTACATATAAACATGTGTATGTGTTTATACGCGCACCGGATGCGAGTTAAGTGATCTTGGAGTCAGCTTCTCGATTGTATTTATTTATTTACATACGCGTAAATATCGAACGCGACGTAAACTTATTTTTTTCCTAATTTTCAAGTTTATGACGTATTTTTCTGTTCAACTTTTAAAACAAGATTTGAAGGAAGCAAATGAATCGAACAATCTGTGATTCTCCTTTCATTGGTGCGAACTGCCGCTAAGAATTAGTGTAAACAAACTAATTTCATACTATTTGTATTCAATGTGATGTGTACAATTATATACCTCTACAAATCAAAAAGAAACTTCAAGTATTCGATGGCCTTACGTTTAATTTACCTGTATACTTGCGATAAATTATTTTACATACTTAGCACGTGGCAGTGATTGAAAATTACGGTTGAAAAACCTTGTTCCGTTGTGTATATATAAACTTTCTTGGCCTAGATTTGTGTTAAGTCGATTCGATTGTTGTACGCATACGTTAGAGAGACAGTCGAAAGCAACTAAAATACTCGTGGTATGTAAAACGCGTTGACGAGTTTGTCGACGCACCGAAAGACAGTCCAGGGGCGACCAAATGCATCGGAAAGCAAACAAAGTCTTGACGTGCTGTCGTGTTTGTCCATTAGTTGCTAATCGAGTGAGTATCGCCACACACGTACGGTGTAATGTAAATTATTGCGCCAAGCGCGTTTTATCAACGAATGAATAGGTGTCGTTTATGTATCACGTAAGTTTGTAAATACATGTATGTAGGAACATAATCGAGAATTGTTCA